CATGGTATGAGATGGGAATTTGGTCCGTTTAACTGGACCTGTGACACAAATAGGCTGAATTTCACGCCGTTTTGTAATTCTTTTTAGGGCTTTCTTTCTGCACCTCCAAAGTTTTCTAAACCCTGACCATATCTTTTTACGGTAAAAATCCAAAATCCTATTTTCTCTCTTATATTTACTTCCTCACCCCACTCTAAAAGAAGTGCCACACAGTACAAAATACACTCTTAATTTATTAGATAAAGATACTTACGACAACATTTTAACACTACTTACGTGTCATTTTGTGATGGTCCAGGTTGGTGTTTATAATTATTATTGATTGTGGAGTAATTTTAGATGATATTAAAATATTATAAAAAAAATATTATCAAAGTGTTATTATCCTAATTTCTTTCTTACTTTTCACTCTCTCTCCTCCTTCCGTCATCCCCACAACACATAGACACTCTTTTCCTCTTTCACTTTACTCATTTCTTTCATTCTCCCCTCTGTCTCACCAGCTCCAACCTCCTCTTGCCTTTTCCTTTTCACGCCAAACTCAATAATCAAATATGTATTTTTTATATATTATTTATTGTTTATTTAGGATAATATTATGAGAAATTTATGTGATATTTAAACTAAAAATCTATAACTGATTTAGGAAAAAAACCATATTTGAGCTTTAGGTACCGAATTTAGAAAAACATGTTAGATAAAGAATCGAATTTAAAAATTCGGTTAAGTAAAATACTAAATTTTGAAACGTGGTGTAGGGAATGTTTCGAATTTAAGGAAGGTAATAAATTTTGAAATTCAATTAAAAAATTATCAGATTTTGAAATTTAATTAAGAAATTTACCAGATTTCAAAATTAGATTTAGAAATTTGATTTAGAAAGTTATCGACGACGATTAAGTAGTATCAAATTTTAAAATTATATATATATATATATATATATATATATATATATATTTCTTTAATTTATTTTTAATGACTTATGGTTTTGTTAGTTTTTTTTTAATTTTATTTATTTTGTATGTTATTGTTTTGTTTATTTATTTTCGTTCAATTTAGTTATTTCTTAGTTGTATTGGTTTTAGTGTTTGTTTGAATTTATTTGTTATAAAAATCACAAGAACATAAGGTGCTTCTACATACCAAGCAGAGAGTTTTGCATAAAGTAAAGCTAGGAGACCAACGACATCTGCTTGCAAAAGGGGTCGCAATGATGAAGATGGAGAAATTGCAACATTATTGTGTGACACGATAATGTTGTTTAATAAAAAGATTAAATGGTTGGATATCTTGGAGGACTACATGACATCTCTTTATTGATGAGTTATATTGATTATGTTGCAATTGCATTGTGGGGAGGTTGAGTTACTAATTATTTTTATGATGATAGATGACTTGTTTAAATTTTATATGCAATTGTTATGTGTAAGACCGAAGGGAGATAAAGTTTGTCTCCCATGTAAAAGATTAAACAATTTTTTAGAATGTCATCTCACTGTTCAGAATTATATATTGATCAATTATAGTTTAATGTCTCTATGTGACATTTCGTACGATTACACTGATAAGGTGTTGATCATGGATTTTGTTGAGATATGAGATACAAAGACAAGTGAAATAATCCTCTTAAACTTTTCATAGTGCAAGTCAAATTATTTTGTCATTCACTTAATAAGAATACTAAGACAATTGAGAAAGTCAACTCTATTGATGTGACTCCAACTATCTCAAGTAATAACAACCGATGTTTGTTTGTTTTGTAAGTTATATTCATCAATTAAATAATATTAAATGCATTCAACAACTTCACAGGATCAAGATGTGTATAAAAGAGATCACTTACCATCTCAGATTCGTCTACACATCTACTCCAATTCATGTATTTATCACATTCTAACATCATCATTAGTTGTTGTAATTCAGTTCTCAAACCTTTCAATGATCGTTTGTAAGTGTATCTTACATTACATACTTGCTTGATTGTTATTATATTACACTAATTATTTTCATTGAAAGTAAGGAAAATGTTTGTAGGCTTCACCTGGCTCTTAGTTATATCAACAAGCAATGATTGTTTAGTGAATTTTAACTATGATATCCATATATTACCCTTAATACCCACCCATCTTCATTATAAATTGGTTTGCCTCTTAATTTAAAAAGGCAACTATAGTTTTTTGTGTTGGATATACTAGGTTGAACATCATATTTTTATTTTATGTATTTTTCACCTTTTTTTCACATCCTAATAATACATACATCTTTTTCCCAAGTTGACCACTAGTTTTAACAAATCTTATAATAACAACAACCAAAAAAAGATAAGGACAAATCTGGTGAGTTCCTAAACCAGATTTCTAAATCTAGTAGTTCCATAACCAAATTTCAAAATGTGGTGACTTTCTAAACCAAATTTCAAAATCGGTTAAGTTTCTTAACTAAATTTTGAAATTCAATAAATTCCTTAAGTGAATTTCGAATCCGGTAAATTCCTGAATCGAATTTTAAAATTTGGTGCTATCCTAAATATGAGTTACTTAACCGAATTTCGAAATTAAGTTATTTTCAGAACCAAATTTTAAAAATCAGTGTTTTTCTCCACCAAATTTCGAATCCAGTAATTACTAAAACATTTTACTTTATTTTCAAAATCTAGTGAATACTTTTACAAATCGAATTTTGAAATCTAATACATTAAAGATATAATAAAAATAAATACTGAATCTGACATTCAAAAAACAATTGTATAAGCGAGAAGAATGAAATGAATACATATTCTTTATTTCAAACGAAGATGAAGAAAATTAAAGAAGTTTCAAACAAGAATGAAAACGAAGTAAAAAAAAAACTCACGAAAACGCCGTTGAAAGAAAAAGAAAATTGAAGTTGAAGAAGAGAGAAAATTAAAGTTGAAAGTAACTTGGGTTGCAAGATCAGTAAATGGGTGTTACTCCCTCCACCTCCACAGCCTTCTCCCTCCACCTCCCCAATTATCTTTAATTCCAATTATATCCTTAAAGTTAAAATTTTTTATTTTTATTATTTTATTATTTTAATATTTTAATATTTAAATATAAACTAATATAAATATACATTATTAAAATACATTAAAAAGATATTCAAAAATAATAAATCAAAATATTAAAATATCTAATAAAACAATAACAGAAACATAAAATTAAAACAAAGCTTAAACGGATGACATCCTTCAACGGATGTCAACATCCGTTTAAGGCGAAACGGATGTCAACATCCGTTTAAGGCGAAACTGATGTCGACATCCGTTTTGCCTTAAACGGATGTTGACATCCGTTGAAGGATGTCATCCGTTTAGGCTTCGTTTTCATTTTACGTTTTAGGGTTAAAGAATTATTGGAAAGATTATTGGAAGGATTATTGGAAGGGTTTAGGGTTTAGGGTTTAAGATTATTGGAAGGATTATGACTACGTACCTGGAGAGGAACCACGACAAACACATTACACCACAAACGCACTGCACCACGTACTGCACCGAAAGCAAGAGGAAGATTGCTTGATAATTCTTTTCACGATCACTGAGCTTTGCAGAAAAATATTTTACTCATACAAGGAACTACGTAGGTTATCAGTGAAATATGTTATAAATGAGTAAAATTAAAAAACAATAATTCTAAAAATAAAATTTTACTGAGGGGCAAAATAGTAAAGAGGAGGTGGAGGAAGAAGGCTGTGGTGATGGAAGGAGCAACACCCTCAGTAAATATATCACCTTCCTCAATTTGTTAAACAGTAATTACTACACCTACCTAATTAATTTAACAATTTATATATATTTAAAAGGGACATATTTGACATCAAGTAAAATGTGAGGGTGCAAGCAGGAGAACTAGAGGTGCAAGAAGAAAGCGCCCCGTTTTGCAGTTCTTGATCCCCTCTTTCTCTGTGTGGACGACTTCAAGGGCCACAAGGTTCCTTAAACCTCACCATGAAGCCTATTTTCCAAAAAACAAAAATGGAACCTTAGGAAAAGGATAATTGTAAAAAAAAAATAACCAAAAAACACTTTATTTTCTTTCTTCCTCTTATTTATTCTTTTGCTAATATCAGAACCAATAAAAGAAGAGAGCCTCCCAAATCTCCATGAAGACCTGGACAATGATCTTATGATAATGATGATACAAATTCAGAGATAGAAAACACTACAAGGGATTTTCTAAATTCGTTTGCAAAAACATTTGCTTCTCCATAATCATCTCTAGTATTAGAGTCCTGAAATCATTATAAGGGTTGCTCGAGTCATTCACCACCGCCAACATGTCCTTCACCTTCCCATGCAGCAACAAGACACCCATGTTGAAACTCCAACCACGACACCAAGAGTTGGAGTGAAATGGAATGAGGATGAGAGGGTGATTTATGAGAAGGTTAACTCTGCCATATGTCTACATTACTCTGCCACATGTTCTTGTCATTCCACTAAGTTATTATCCTCTAATGACATCAACATTAATTTAACAAACCATATTAATTTATTTTTTTAAACATTAAAATTACATTGAGTAAAAAAAAACTGAACTATTACTATAAATATTAAGACAAAAAATATTAAATCTGTTAAAAAACAAACTTCTTTAAACACAGAGATGTTTTCTTAAACAAGCTTTCTGAAACCTTACATAAACACCTATCTTTCCTTGTCAGATTGAACATTTCAGAAATATTACGAATTCAGCAATTCAAAAGAGAACACTGTTTCGTTATATAATCTCCACAAAAATTCAACATCAATAGCTTTTGCGGCAGCAACAAACAAGGGTATTTTAATCTTATTAGTACGACGATGTAGGAAGTAATCATTGGAGTGCAGAAAGCAAAATCCTACCAATCGCTGAGATATCTAATGAAGGATGGTGATCAATATTGTATTTAGTTTATTCGTATTTTACATTATTTAATATATATTACCTGAACACTGACTAAGTTTTTTTAATGATTTGTGTATTAAGTATTCTCTTCTTTGATTACAAGTCAAGTCTACGAGTCACACTTAAGACTTTCAACGTGTTTACACTAACCCTGTCTGAGAGCCTTGCTTACATGCAATTTCTAAATATGTCTGGAAAATGAAACAATTTCATGTTAACAATATGAACATTATGCACAAGTTCAGAAAATCAAAAGAATAAGGATTAGTAACTAGTTTTTCATGTTTCATCCAATGTTCATCTTCTCTCCCTGTTCACGAGCAATGGAAGCAGAGAGAATTCCGAGATCACGATTTAAGACTGTCAATGCAGATTCACATTCAGATATTATTCGTGTGACAGAGGAAGGCCCGTCAGATGTCTCAGAAGAACCAAAGGCAAGAGCTGCATGTGAATCTCTAAGATTCCGTAGGTTGCCCAAAAACTGTTTCAAATAATCACAAATATATTGTCGGTGAAGGCAATAATATTTTCAGAACATAGGTTCCTTTAACAGCTCAATTCTCTCACTTTACAAAAACATACCAACATTAAATTTTATGCAATGTTCAGTGTAAACCAATAGCACAACTCTAAATCAGATCTACTATAGTTTACAGAGCTTGTGTTTTGCCTATTCATGTACAGGTAGAAAAAGGAGTTGACCCGCCACCAAATTACAAACTCAGAACTTTAAGACTATTTTGAATCACGCCATTATACCACAAGAATCACTGTTCAATATACATATCGTTTAGTCATCAGATCAGCCAAAAAACCACGTTTCTTTTTATTATAACTATGAATTAGATCAACTTTTAAGCAACCAAAACTTCAACATGGGATTGTCATATACTGTCTCCCACTTGTTTATCCCTTTCACATCTGCAAGCACCTAAAGGCATGATACAGACATGCACACATTTTATATTGCGGACAGCATGCTTTGATGCCAAGTTTGGTCAATCACGAAATTAGTGGGAAATTCATGACGAAATAGGGCTAATAGCTTAAGACCAAACCCAAATAAAAAAGTGGATGAGAAAAAAGTTTAGCAAATGAGCAAAATTCAATCTAATTAGAAAATTTGGAGGGATTAAGAGAGGTAGACAATAAGAACTACATGTCTTAAAAAATGGGTTTTAAATCAAACTCAGCCTACAAAAATGATTTACAAGATAATGTTTGCATCAATTTATAAACTTTAATTTGGTCATATTTGAGTTGATATGGAATCTCCAACTCACCATCTCATCACATGGATTAGACATCTCAAACGTAAGAATATACATAAGAGTGCTTTGATAACAATCTGATATAGTGAATGGTCCAACAAATCTTGTTAGAATAGACTTTAATATCATTTTAAAAAGTAAATCTAATTATATAATGAAGTTTTTACCAACTTATATACAATAATTAAGTCATATCTCTAATCAATATATGATCTCCAATAATAAAACAAGGATGATCTACCAGAACACAAAAAGGAGTTCTGTATTTTATGAATAGGTATCTCTGTAACTAGCCACTAATAGATTAATTTAGAATCACGTTCAGCCTCACTTGATTTTAAATTTTTAATAACATAAACAGTAGTACCAAATGTTTTTGAAAAAACATTTATGCCAAGCATAAGAAGGTTACCTTCAAAAGCATTTTATAGGCCTCCAATAAACGATTGGCTGCTGGTCCAAAGCCATGAAGTTGTGGAACCTCCATCATGTGTGTCCATGGACGAATTTCCTACACAAGCAATTTTTTATAAGTTTTCCCCAGATGTAATTACTGTTTTAGAGAGCATTGTCATATCATGAAAATACGTAATAGTAATACCAAAAAATTAATACAAAATTTATACATTAAAGTACCTTCTAGTGATTGGAACTGTAAGTATACAGCACTATTTAATAATCAGTAAAATGTATCAAAATCACCTTTTAGCTATGGTTTTATTTCTGAGCTATACCTAGTCAATTACAGGTTTTCATAAATGTCAATTAAAATTACAAGTTTCAGAGGTAGCAGTACCGTGATCAGATCACCATAGATATCAGCTATTCTGGTCTAGATGCTCAAATTATGGGATATTTAGAAGTAAATAAACAAAAACCTGACTAGTTGCATATAAAAGCAAGGATAGTTCCGTCATTCATTATCATGCTCTCTTTTTTCACTTGTAGTACTACTAAATATTTATTTGACTGGATTCAAATAAATAGGACAGGGAATGCAAACATCTTAGAGAAACGCATGATTAAACCTTGGTGTAAATCAAATTGAATGTTCTAGCTGTTTCTAGGAAAGACTCCAAATGTGCTCTCAGCTGGGCTTCCACCTCTGTATACTCCTCATCTGGATGGTATGCATGCTACAAACAGGATAAGATAGCACCAATATCAAAATATATATGATAGTATTACACAGAAATGCTTTGAAATTAAAGTCTCATCCTGAAAAACAATAATAATAATTAGAAAATAAGATATTAAAAGACGAGGAAAAATAGCACACAATGTCAACAAAAATGGCAAGAGACAAAAAGTTGAGACTCACTAAAAGAAAAACTGACATTTACAGGCCAGTTTTGTTTGGGAGAACTTTCTGTTTTAATCTCCTATTTTCACAACTAATTACCAAAATGTCATCCTGTCTCCATTTTGTTTCCAATTTTAAAGATTTGTATGGGAAACAATGAAAACAAGACCCTTTAAAACATGAAACAGCGAAACAAGATAACATTGTCGTAATTATTTTTTGCAACAATATTATGAAAATATTACCTTATTTTCATTTTACTTCCATTCTTCAAAGATATTTGTACAGGAAATAGTGAGAACAAGAACATAGTGTTGTTATTATTTCCTATACAAGTCTTCGAGAATAAGTAAAAGCATGGCAGCATTTATGCAATTATTTGTGGAAATAGGAAATGAAAACAAAACCTTTTCTAAATCCAAAAACTATTTTGTTATTTTTCTTCATTACCAACCGATATCTTCACCAGTAATTATAAAAGTGTAATCTCGTGTTTTTTTATTCCCCATTTTCATAAATTTGCAAGGCAACTATCTTTGGACTCAACTAATTCAATTGCAAGGAAACTATTTTTAAAATCATGAGAAAATTAAATTATAGTAAACAAATGAAGTAAAGTTTTAGTAGCTCTTGGTGTAGATTAGTCTATAAGAACATCTGCCTAAATCTATAGCAAAATAATATTTAAAGAAATAGCAGCAGTCAACAAGAAATGCGTCACAATTAAAGGGAAGCTCAACTTGCAGAGGATTACCAGAGGAAAACCAAAACATAACGCAGTATCAATAACAAACTTGGTTCATGTCCTCTTTCAGTAAATCCTTGTAAAGAATTAAAAAAAAAACAAGAAGAAAAGCAGAGAAAGAGGATGAAGGAAGAAAATAAGTATCTGGAAACTATTTAGTAAGAAACATAAAACTCAGTGCTATCATAGGTTTAATTTGGTAAAAACAGAAATCATCAAACATGCAGTACACTAAATAGGTGAAACCATATGGCTTGAAAGAAAAAGACGGACAAAAAGTAATTCAATTTACTGATTAATTTCCAGCTACAGATATCATATCATATGACTATTAAAGACAAGTGGGTTGAGGAGTTCAATAAACCTTGGATGCCAAGTCATCAACTTTTTGTTGAAGATTCAACAATATTTTTGATTGTTCAGAAAACTTTGACTCCAGCTCAGAGACATCTGGCCTGAAAATATTTTGATTAAAAAACCAGAATGTTACAATCTCTCGTGGGAGACAATTTCTTTTACTAGCAAAAGATAAACCATTTCCATCAACTGAACTTCCAATTGAACATATATTATTTATATGAATTGAATCCAAAAGCTGAATCCAAAGTGTCAGCAGCATTTGAGTGCCCAACTTTAAAGAAACACAATAATCTTAAAAGCATACAAAAATCTTTAAAATGATGGATCCATTTTAAATATGTTTAATGGGTAAGTTTGTGAGTGTGCATACGAACCTTCACTACGTGTTACTTTTCAAAGCAATATTATTTTTACTTCATTTTAAAGAAAAGTAAGTTCAAATGGCAGAAGTGCAAATGTACAATTAAGGAGAGTTTAAAGTATCCTCCAAGACACAACAAGGTTCAAAACAGAGAAAACGAAAATATCAATAAAGCATGAAAAATGTGCAGTCCCTGCATGATAAAAATAGAAAGTCCCCAGAAAAAGACACTGGCAGAGTCTAGTGTGCATTATATAACATCGTTTATGGTTACTAAATTTTGGTTAGAGAATCATTTATACAGTGGTTATTATTGCCTATTTTTCAAATATTTATGACCTTATATTATTTATGAAGTGTGTACTTGTACTGTAAAGGCTCTGGTTCTGTACTGTTTTCTGTTAGTTTCTGTGAAGAAAGAGACTTTAAATCTAACTCAACCTTACAAAATCGGTTTGTAAGGTGAGAGATCTATAGTCGATGTGAAATCTCCAACACCCCCTCACGCCAAGATATATACATCTCGAGCGTGAGACTAAACATTAATGGGTGATCTTTTACAATTTAATGCAACAACTTTGCCACAATTAAAGCTCTAAAGAACAAATTAATGCAAAAACTTTGATGATATTCTAGCCTTCCTCCATCTTCCATTGAACAAAAGGTTGCCTCTATGGACACCAGACTGAAATTTTCACTGGCATTCGTCAGTTTATATTTTCACAATGTTAATATTTACAGAGGACAAACTGTTAAATACTGCTTTTCCTGTGCATAATCATGGAATATTTCAAATTTTTCACTCGGAATATTTCTCCCCTGACTTCTAAGTAACATTTGATGTTGCATCATAAACCAAGCCAATGCAATTCAAATATATGCCCTAATGTCTTACATATGTTAACCCTATATCAAATGTTAAATAATTTGGTGAGTTAATTTTACAAATGGGGGATCGTCGTTATGAAATAAAGATATTTACTCAAATAATCACAGAATGGGAAGGTAAATATCCATAAGAAAATGAAGAAACTTTTACAATGGATATATGGACTGAATCTGAACATCTGCAGGAAACAATTTGCATTCTTCAGAAAATATTTGAGCTTGTTTTTCTGCAATGGAATCTATCAATTGAATGTCCTTGGCTACCTGCTCGTCAACACTACAGAAATCAGAATAAAAAACAAATTTATGTCAATGCTTCTCTACAAACAAAAAATTTACAGGAAAAAAAAATTATCACTTAGAAATATTTGAGAGTGGACAACCTCCATTCCGGATTATCTGCACATATTGTTGCCTCCACAAGATCTACAATAAGACGAAGCATTTCAGTGCGGTCTTCATAGCTTCCATGCCCCTATCACATTTGAATAATACTTACCAGCCTTCTAGGTAAATCATTACAAGTACATATATGAATATTACTGTAATGCATTAAAGATTAGGACATAAAACATTAAATATTCACTCTTCTCCATATATTCAAAATATAATAGACCAATGGATACAACTTATAGGAGAAAAATAGACCACTGGCAAGCCTATCTGTAACCTCCTTTCTTTATTAATACACAAGAATTTTCTTAAACCATTAGTATTAGATAATATTTAGTGAAGTTTCAATGGATTAGCTATTAATGATTAATAGTACATGTTAGTTACAAAGAGAATTAGACAAAACCAGACCAATCAATTGCTATGCTTTAGCACATTAACAGGTAGTTCCCAGTTCAGCTAATTTCCTATAACCGTTTCTGCTTTAAGCCTTGACTCAAAATATATAGATATGGTCCCCAAAGATAACTAAAATCTGTTCATGAATGCATCAATGTAGTCACAAGAATTAAAATTATCATATACTACATCTGCTAATCTAGGCAACTCTTTTAAACAGTAGTGAACAGGCATCACTATCAGTACATATACATATAATTCAAAAACACTATCACCCTGACATTTGAGAATCTAGTCAGTTAAGTCTAATTTAGGTTTCCAATATTTTGTTACTTTTATTAATGATTATCCTAAATGTACTTGGTTTAAACAATTGCTTAAAGAGTTATAATTTTGAGATGTCACTCAAATGACATTTATACGTGACAATCAAGTTGCTCGTCATATCAGTTCTAGTCCTATCTTTCACAAGAGAACCAAACACATTGAGATTGACTGTCATTTTATTTGAGAGAAGATTGTATATGGAGACATTAAGACTGAGTTCGTAAACTCAAATAATCAGTTAGCAACATTTTCTAAAGTCTTTACGGGGACTGAGAATTAATTATATTTGTAACAAACTTTATACATACGATGTGTACGCACTAGCTTGAGGGGAAATGTTAGATATATTGCATTTTATGTTAATTGCGAAAACATGTCTCTATATTAATTATGTTATATTTACATATTCATTTGTATTTGGGCTTAGCCCAAATTCTCTTTATTATAAATACATTACCCTATGTGTATTTTGTACACAATGGAGATTAACCCTATACCTAGTTTTTTACTATATTCAATACAGACAAAGAACTAAAAGCAATAACCCAAAAATGGGACATCACCAAAACAATTCATAAGGTATGCACAAATGAAACAGAAGAATATAGCTTGAGAGATCAGAGAACAGCAAAGAAAAGATCAATAAGTACAATATTATGAGCAATAAGAGAAAGACCATATTACAAATTGTGTATATATGTGAAGGAATAAAACGTAAAAAGAGATATAGAAAAATTCTTATAATTTGAATTTGGATCTAACTTAACCCAAAAAAGTTTGCTTGTGAGGTAAGCATTGCCTCTTATTTAAATTATTTTAGCTGAATACCTAATTAGTATGGGATATCCATACACAATCCTCACACTGAGGGCTACACATTTCAACCATGAAGTTTATAGACTTAAAATGTTTATTAGTAGTTGGTAACATCCTGATAATGAGCGGCCATATGCCCAACAACAACTACTAGAATAAGATCCAATACCATCTTCGAATTTAAGTTTGAGCTTGACTCAATCCCGAAGGCTACCACACAAGATGAAGGTTTCTCCTTACTTAGATACATTATTTGATCATATCATATCACTAATCAATACTAGATCTCTAACAAAAATAGAATACCAAAACTATTCAAAAACTACAAAGGTTCATAAAACAGAAATATGGAATTTAAAATGTCCATAAACATACACCGAGCTGTCTGTCTTTTTATAAACTCGCTTAAAATTGCAGTCACCTTTAAACTATCTTAATTACATCCTCTTGTTAAAGTTATATGCCAGTCTCAAGAATGTCTACATTATGTAGTGTACAACCATCAGAAATTATTGATATCCCACATCAACTAAAAATATGGTCAATGTAGTCCTACCATATAAAACTTGAGCGATCTTCAACTTACAAGTTAATTTTGAGACTAAGTAAAGCCCAAATTTGAAGAGTCTTTTACACTTCTTATAGCTATAAACTCAGTAATAGTTAGCCAAGAAATCAAAATGACTAACCTGAATGGCTTCCGTATCTACAGTTGTTGTAATGCCCAAAAACTTAGCAATCTCTGCTAAATCTGCAAATTGCAATTCATGAGAAACAAAGTTACTACAAGAAAGAAAACACAATCAAAAAGTGCAAACAAATTCATTTCAAAAATAATCACCAACTAAAAAGAGATACATTCTGCATGATGAAGATGGACGACAAAATGGAAATTTACAGAGCAACTTGCACAAATAAATTGACACTCAAATGGTACTACCTCTAGATGTGAAAAAAAAAACTGATTATTTCCCCATAGTTTTATACAGAAACATAAAAGAACAAATTAAAAATATTTTACAAAATGTGGAACAACAAAGCTCCTATCAGCATAAAAAGGATGTGAAATTGTTCTTTTTTGCAGGACATACACAGAATAGAACTAGAAAACTAAACCATTAAGAGATGGATGACTTAGAGTGGCATGCTATAACAAACCAAACAGCACAACCTTGATAACACAACACAAACATCTTTTTTCTTCTATACATACAAATGCAGAAGTCTGCACAAATCACAAACTTAGTCAAAAAGAAAGCTTGGATGCTAGGTTGTGAACTAGCCATTGGAAATTTAAAAACACGAAAATAAGAAGACTTACACTGAATTCGACCTGTCTCCTCATCACGATCAAGACTATCCCCTTGTAAGTTTTGTTGAGAAAAGGGTGACTTATCACCTAAAAGCCTGTTGTAAGCATAAGTACCAAATAATTTCTTCTTAACATTGACAAGAATACTTAAAACTGTAACTAGTAGTGCTGCACGTAGGCAAAAACCAGACAATGTTGGAATCGCTAGGGCTAAGTATTGCACGAAGAGGGTAGAAAATAGAAATAGTAGTATTGGACATACAGAAAGGTAAAGGTTTTGTTTTTTCACTTGGTTTGTGCAAGGCAGATGGTGTGAATGCATAGCTAATCAGAACACTTTCAAGCAATACATGTAGAGCCTGGAAAAAAAAACAAAGAGGGGAGTGGGAAAAGTACGCCTAGCTTTTGCGTCAATATGCAACAGGACGGGGTTCCAATATAGCATAAGTAAACCCATGTAAAGTCATAATAATGGTTGTATAACCCAGCAACTCCATTTTCTATCAACTTGTTTTCGAGAAGAAAAACTTCCTCAAATACAAAACAGAAAAATGAACTTTCAGAAGCAAAGAAAAATAAGATACCGAAAGAAGAGCCACTCCAGAAGGGCATAGCGCTCCATGCCAGCAAATAGGAGCGACTGTGCAGGCGCATTTGCTCTAGGATAATTAAGGTCCGCCAATTTCTTCCGAATCTCTTCCATTTGCCTCGACGCCATCTTCTGCAGTAACTTATTTCATCTTACTGTCACACTTCCTCTTTAGTACGGAGCAGGTCCTTGTGCTCCTCTCAGAATACACTAACATAAAGCGAGACAAAATTACGTCAATTAATATGACAAACTCAATCAGTTCATAGATCTGAAAATTAATAGAACCACAAAGCGAATTGCAGTTTAAAAACATTTCAAATGCCACCCTAGAAAAATAAAAAGCTCCACAACGATCCGAAAAAAAAATCAAATTCTATGACCGATTCAGACGCGAAAATTTGAAAATCGACTTCAGTCAATGCAAAAAACGGATCCAACGCGCACTCTAGATTACAAAGGCCGGCAACGGCATTGCTTCAAACCTGACGGCAACACGTGAAGTGGCGCAAGTTACGTGCGAATCAGCGAAGGATCTAGCCGTTTCCTGAGAATTGTCGGAGTTTTTCGTCTCCGGTTTCGCGCCGGCGCTGTGGACGACGGCGTGGGGAACAACGTAGAATCAGACGAAGAACAGCGTCAATGTTTGACAGAGAAAAACGAGTAGAGTTTGTATGCGGAGGACAAAGACATGGAGAATGATGAATAACGAACCACACCCTGTTTTCTGGTGGAAGGTGCTCTGGCTTCTGTTACTCCCCTCCTGTGCTGAAGATTTCAATTCAAGTTTTATTTGTATCCGATCCCCATTCTGCCCTCACACTTTCAACTTTTAATTTTGTTTCCATCTTAGAACTTTTTGGAAAATCTAGGGTAGCTTCTAAGAAATTTTTCCATAAATAGTATTTTCTTTATTAGTTTCCCAACCAAATTTGAAGAACCGAATTCTCATCTCTATTTAAATGAATATTGGTGTAAATCACATTAGAATTTGGTGCTTGAAGTCTCGATTTTTGGAAAGTTTTGTATGTTTTTTTCTAAGCAGTTCGGTGGAAGAAAATGGAAAAAATTTAAAAGAAATCAAAATAAAATAAAATTATTTTAGTGATTGGAAAAGAAGGTTGGAAAAGAAAGAAAGAAACTTACGACATGTACATACTATTAAAATTCCTTTCTGAATTTTGTCTATCCTGAAAAATATTCATCAAACTTTGGTATTGTATGGATTGTCAAGTTAGGTGGAGTTCCATTTTATTTGATTCAAAGGGAGTTACCTCAGGTGTTCATTTTTATTAGGTTTAATACCTCTTTTAGTCCCTAGAAAGGGGGCCAAAGTTCAATGTGGTCCCACCTTTTTTTAGAAGTTCAATGTGATCCCATCTTTTGTAAAAAGTGTGCAATCAAGTCCTTTTTGCAAACG